TCTCTGTCTCAAATCTCTTTCTGCCTTTCTCTTATTATAAGGACACTTGTCATTGGACTTAGGGCCCACCGGGTTAATACAGGATGGTCACCCCATTTCAAAATCCTTAATTACATCTGCAAAGACCCTTTTTCCAAATAGGGTCACATCTACAGATTTCAGGGATATGGACATATCTTTTGGGGGAAACCACCCATTCAACCCTTTGTACATCCCACCTACGGAGAAAGAACAAGAATAAGTCTTTGGGGTCAGGAAGCTCTGGGTTTGAATCCCACCTCTGCCACTTACTCAATAACTAAAATTCAGTCCTTTCTTAGGATGTTACCAACACTCAGTTTGATTCTAATAAAGAGCCCAGCAGGGCAGTGACGCGAGAATAGGCCTTGCCACCCTCCTCTCGCACCACAGAAGGCCCACCCCAGGCCCAGATGGGAGTGGGGACTTCGTGGTCCTGCAGGACGGCCTGCGGTGGAGCCACGCGCTTCCCCCGCTGCAGGAACTCAGCAACTCTCTGTCACCTCTCAGGACGCCGCGTCTTCCTGGGCTCCGGAAGCTGGCTGCCTTCCCGCTTGTTTCTGCCTGGGCGCGCGCAATACCACCAATAGGGCTCCATCCGGACTTTGTTTGCCTTTAACTACTAAACCAACTAACGAGCCCCCAGCGCCGCCATGTGCAGACACACCTGGCTGCCTCTGACAGGTAATGAATCCTCAGCCATGTTCAAGGGCAGGCCTTCCTGACAGCAGGGGGGTAATCAACTGATCCAAGTCAGGGTGAGCTGGGAGGTCAAAGAATATTGAATAAGGAGCGCTGCCCCCGCCCCATGACAACCCTGCCCCCTCCCACTGCCCCTGAACTCGATGCAGGCATCGCCTGGAAGACAAGGAGGATTGATTTCTCTGGGAAAATGGAAAGCGGACGTTGAACAAATACTCCCTTATAAATCGGCACTAAGGCAGAGATCCTTTAACACCACCCGTGAGTGACTGAGACACGAAAAGTCACGTTTTCCTGAGGCCAGCGGGAAGACCAAAGTTTGTAAGCTCCTCTGGTATTATTTTCCTCCACGAGCATAGATTTCTTCCACCCCACCCCACCCCAAATTCTGCACCCTGCCTGCAAACCTGGCCACACACCTCCCTGGAGCCATCCTCGGGCAGAAGGGTGAGGCAAAGGGCAGAGCAGGGGGCACGGGCACAGTTTGGGCTCCTGTAGGCTCAAGGATGAGGACTCGTCTCAGGGCCTGAGAGGTCGGCCACACAGGAGCACATCAGTATCCATCCCAGCCCCGGGCTGGGAAGTCACCAAGAGGTGCAGAACGGCTCGGTATTTCCTGGGTGACAAAGCCACTGAGGGACACCAGAGGGGACTCAGTCCCAACTCCTGTCCCGTGAGGACCCCCCAGCAGGTGCAGAGCTTTGGGTGTTGGTGACACGCGGTCCACTTTCTGTCACCCTCCTGTGTGTTAAGATGGATCCGATTCCCTAGGGGACAGTGGTTGCCAGGGAAGAAGGGTTTGTGTGAGCTGACAGGTCAGCCAGCTTCTCCAGGAACCAAAGACACCACGGCTGCGAGGATAAAAGGCAAATACAGTTTTGATCCCTTTCTTGTAAAAATTGTAAGTACATATGTATAGGTATAGATACAAACACACACACACAGACACACACACACACACCTGGAAGAGTCTCTAGAAAGCCACACACTAAAGTGTTAACAGCGTTTTACCCTTAGTGGTGGGATTTGGAATTTAGTTTCCATTATGCTTTGTCTCTATTTTCCAAATCTTCTACAATGCACACAGTATTACTTTTATAATGTGGAAGAATTGCTATTTTTTAAACTGTACAAATGTAAAGAATTGGTAGCCTTAGTAATTCTCAAATCTCTGCAACTGTTCTGCAAGAACTGTTTCTAACAGACCGTGCCTAATTAGATTACGAGAAAATCAGCCGCACCTTCAGCTGATTATGTATATGGGGTACCATGGGCACTACGATCCTCCCACACCAAGGATGACTCTGGACTCTCTATGCACCTCGCCTGCAAATACTGGAACCCCCATGCCAATGTTTATCCCATTTAAGAATAACCAAAGATCCAAATAGATTTCATAAATCACTCAGTCTTTTCAGCTTTCTCCTTGAGGACACGCACGGCAGGCTTCTAGCAAAGATGACGCAAAATAACAAGACAGATGTAGTAACTAATACAGAGTGCTTGGTTCACCAAACAAAGAGCTTTTGATGCTGGAACTAAATTTACGTTGGCATGATAGGATCTGAGAGGGCTAAGAAGAGCCATATACAATGGACAGGCAGCCCTGTCAGCAAAGGGGAGAGTGAAACCCAGTAGCGCTTCCTGCCACCCACCCCTCCCACAAACCACTCACCTGGGTCATCAGAAGGATGCTCTCCCTCAGGTGAGACTCGGGGGGATTTTTCACTTTCCTCCAAGAAAAGACTCCAAAACATCCCAAACACCAAACCCAACCACCCTGTCTTCTATATGCCCTCCTCACCCATTCGTTCATTCAGTACCTGTGTCTCAGCACCTGTGTATACACAGAACAGCACCTTGATACTGTGTATCAAGCACCTACTGTGTGCTCCGAGGTGAGTAGAGGAAGGAATCTGACAGTTGCCAGCTCTCAGGAGTTCCCAGGCTGATGGATACTTTCCTGGTGTTATCAAGGGATGTAGAGAAAGGGCCAGTGGTCCTGCTGTCCCTGCTGACCCCAGAGTGATAGAACAGAGCCCAAACTGCTGGCCAGTGCAGGTGCCCGCCTGGGGAACAATGGGAGAACCTGGTGCCTGGTCTTCATACAAAGTCTGGTCTCCTCTCAGAGGCCAGGCTTGAGGAAGAAGGTCTTCCTAGAGACCCCATCCTGGGGTTTGCTCCAGGGTGGCCCATCGTCTCTCTTCCACCCTCACAACCATGGTCCCTCTGCCCTCACCTTCATGGTGAGAAGACCCTCGGTGTCTGGGGATCCAGTGATCCATCCTTCTTCAAGGCTCCTCGTGAGGCCTTGGACAAGACCCTGTCCTCTCTGAGGGCCAGAGTGCCCACCGGTGACAGCCAGGGTTGGCCTGCATGAAGACTAAGGGGACAGCCCAGCTCTGCCCTCAGAGATGCTCTGAGGAACGTCCTGCATGACCCCCAAAAAGCGGGTTCCAGTGGCAAAATCAATAAGTTTCTGCCCACTTCTTCCAGACAGATGCGCCAATGAGATTGTTACAGCCTTAACCCAGCGGCCGATAGGCTTCACTTTGTGCTCAGGCCTGCGTGCCCAAGTCAAGGTCAGAGGTCAGGGGTGGTGATGAGCTAATCCCCAACGGAGCAGGCTTCTTGGCCACGCATCAAGAGGATGTGTCAGTGTCAGTGTGAGACATGCTACCACGGGGCACACTGCTCCCCGGGGTGCCTGCCCAACATGGGTGGAATCAGCTCCCAGAGGCAGGTCGGGGACCTGGGCTGGGAGCGCCACCACGCGGAGGAAATGAGGGGCCACCACTGCCAACAGAATGGATAGGGCCTTGGGCAGGGGGCCCTGCTCCCCGCACTCACACTCTCCCTTCACCCCCACCCAGCCCTGCCCGGGCAGGGAGGGGAGCACACAAACCCGAGCACTTTCTCGGCGAGTCTACCGCGGGATTCTCACAGGCACACAGGGAGGCCAGCGGAACAGAATATCATCCCTACTTCCCACATGAGGAAACCGAGGCTCAGCCATGGCAGGCGTGCAAGGCACAGAGCTGGCCCCTAACGCCCGCCCCAGAGCTCCCTCCTCCATGCTGCCCGCTGGCTTCCACGGGAGTTTTCCTCAGTCAGGTGAACCTCCAGGACTCTGCAGGAATGGCGGGAACCACCCTCTGCCCAGCACTGGAGCTTCCACGGTGATTCTCCTCTCCTCTCCCACGTGTCCATTCCAAAGCTGGACCTGGGAGCTCAGAGAGGTGCGCTCTGTTCCCTGCCCTGCCACTCACCACATGAGACCGTGGCAAAGCAGATTACCTCTGTGGGCCCCGGGTTCCTCTTCTGTAAAGTGACCGGTGGGACTAAATGGCAACTGAGGCTTCCCCAGCTCTACCCGCTACAACTCCAGGGGCATCTTGGAGGCATAAGTACCTGCAGAGCGTTGAAAGACACAGAGCTGGGATGCTCAGAGTGTGGAGAGTCAAGCTTATTTCTTCCTGGGTGCTGTAAGAGATACTGAAATGGGAAACATCGTGCCCATCTCAAAGACCCACACTCTTGTCGGAAGACAAGACAGCCCGTGAGCCGAGGCCATCCGCAGTAGAGGATGGAATCATTTTAAGCCCCCAGTGAGTGCTCTGAGCGCTCTCTAGAGGAGGCAGTAAGAGAACCAGCCCCTGGAGTGGTGTGACTGAATGGGCCAGGGTGCCTCAGGCAGGGGAGCAAGACCTGCGGAGGCAAGGAGAGAGCAAAGAGCAGGGTGGGTCCAGGGCCACTGGGATCTGTGTCCAGAAACCTGCCCTGCAAGTAGGTCAAGGAAGGACAAGGGCCCTACATGTTGAAGGTTACCAAATTCCTTTTAATGACTCTTAAGTGCTTCCCTACAACTTTCTATAAATCCACCAGCTCATTCCCATCCCAGAACTCCACATGCAACCTCATTAGGAGGCAGTGAGTGGTGGGAAATATTGATACTTCTGGCTAATCGCGTTATTAATACCATTACCATTCATATCACCTCGTAAACCACTCTTGTAGGACATTTAATATGGCTAAGTCCGAATGAAGATAATACGATTGCTAATTATATCTCTATAAACGTATTTTATGGCAGAGAACAAGAGCTCTTGTATCCTCTGATTACTCAGTTGCCAGAACCGTAAGGAAGCAGGCAGGACTTCATGAAGACGTGCCCTCTGGGGATGATTCATTACGAATAATTGTGGTTAGCAAAAGCACGAGAGCTTTCAGGAGAATTTTTAAAAGAAGAGGATTGTAACTTGTATAAGAGAAGGCAGGGAGGAAACATCTCAGGGAGTCAGAATAAGCGAGGCCGATTCAGTGGACTCTGTGGCCTCTGGAACAGCTGGTCGGGATGCCCAAGCCTGCTCTCTCAGGTCTGTGTGTCCACGGGGCAGAGAGTGGTCTGGGGAGGGACTGCCCGAAGCTCATTTGTAGTGTCCACACACTGGTGTCAGTGACCAGGATCTCGGGGAGGGAAGCTAAGCATGTGTCTACATTTCATAAGGGGAGTCTAAATCCAGCAGCCCTGAGATAATTTGAAAACTACTCACATTTCTTATTTTCTTAATGGTTTACTTAGCATTTATGGACTTAATGTGGGGAACATGTCTGAAGCTGGTGGAGGGGCTTTGCAACTTTCCCAGGAAGCAGTGCCGGCCTAGCTAGTCCCCCTCCTGCCTTGTTTGGGAAACGCTTACCCTAATGGAGGCTGTAAATAAGAATATAAATGCTTTCCTTTTTCTCTTTCTAGCTGAGCTCAGACAATTTACAGTATTAAATGTCCGCTTGTACTCTGGAGAACTGGAATTGATTTTTTTTTCCTTAAAATTGCTCATTGGGTTGCTTATAAATTTCCCTAGCTGGGCTTCCCTGGTGGCGCAGTGGTTGAGAGTCCGCCTGCCGATGCAGGGGACACGGCTTCGTGCCCCAGTTCGGGAAGATCACACATGCCGCGGAGCGGCTGGGCCCATGAGCCATGGCCGCTGAGCCTGCATGTCTGGAGCCTGTGCTCCGCAACAGGAGAGGCCACAACAGTGAGAGGCCTGGGTACCGCAAAAAAAAAGAAAAATTTCCCCAGCTGTTGTTATCAATTTGTAAATTGACGTTATGAGAATAATCGCAGATCGATTGAAGTCATTCTGAGTCAGGGCCAGATCTACACAAACATAGGCACTGCAGAGTTTTGACAGGCATTTAAAGTAAATTACCTTTAGTTTGGATTCAATTCATTAAGAATTGGTGAGATCTCAGCCAGATACTAGGGAGAAGGTCATCTTCCCTCTGTCTATGGGGTCGTCATCAGTGCTATTCAGCAAATATTTCCAGTTCCCCTCCTTACGTACATTTCTCCATCTCTTCTAAATTTAGCCACGGCCAAGGGACTTGTTTTGACCAGCGAAATGTAAGCATGAGTACCATATACCAGTTCCAGGTAGGTGCTTTAAAACAGAGGTCAGCAAGCTCTTTTGCTAAAAGGCCAAATAGTATGCTCTGTGAGCCACATGGTCACTGTCACAACTGCTCAGCTCTGCCATTATAATATGCAAGTAGCCAGAGATAATATGTAATCAAAGGGGTGTGGCCGTGTTCTCATAAAACTTTTTTTATAGACACTGAAATTTGAAGTCCATATAATTTTTGTGTCTCCAAAATGTGATTCTTCTTTTGATTTTTTTAACTGTTTGAAAATACGGTAAAAAAAATATTCCTACCTTGCAGAATGTACAAAAACAGGTGACAGGTCAGATTTGGCCCAAAGGCTACAGTTTGCCAAGCCCTGCCTCAAAAGAATCAGTGGGTGATTTGTTATACCCACGACCCCTGCCCAGATGACCACAGAAGCACTTTTAGACATGGGGCCTCCATCAGCCTGGGTCCATGAGCGCCTCTGATGAGCAGAGCCCCCAGTCAGTTCCCACTGGACATGTAGAGTGAATAAGAAATACACTCTTGTTGTTTATATCCCTGAGATTTGGGGGGCTTACTTGTTACTGCAGCAAACTTAGCCTATCCTGTCTGAAACAATCTATGAAGGATTTTTCTAAGTGAATTAATGGAATAGACATAACCTCAATATAAAAGTTTTATTAAGAAATGATTTTTTTAAAAAGAAAATAATTTTCAAACACACTTTAAACATCTTTTGTAGTGCCCATTTTCATTTAAAATCATAAATTATGTATAAATGACTTTAATCTGTTCATTAAAGCAAATCCTGAACATGCTGAAACTTGACAACATCTCCTAAATCTGTTTAAAATCACAGTGGAGTTTTAGAGTCATTTCCTTTCAAGGATATTCACATTCAGACTACACTTTCTCCTAATCTGTCCCATTCAGTGAGATTGACAGTTTGGGATCTCAACCTCGTACTCAATGTTTCCATCTTTAGCCCAGGTGATGGGTAGGGAATAGCAGATGGTTCCAGACAGAATGAGCCATTCCAGACATCACATTTCAATAAGACATGACTGAGAAAGAAAGAAGCAGGTAGTTAGAGACAGAGAGGTATGCAGTGTGTCATTGGGCATGCCCCTTGTCCTCTCTAGGTCTCAGTTTTCCCATCTGTAAAACTGGGAGATGGAATAAATGTCCTCTATGTGTTCTTTCAGTTCAGATATTCCAAGACTAGATATCATTTCAGACAATTTAAAACAGACCCTTTTAGGGACTTCCCTGGTGGCGCAGTGGTTAAGAATCCGCCTGCCAAGGCAGGGGATACAGGTTCAAGCCCTGGTCCAGGAAGATCCCACATGCCGTGGAGCGACTAAACCCTTGCGCCACAACTACTGAACCTGTGCTCTAGAGCCCATGAGCCACAACTACGGAGCCCGCATGCCACAACTACTGAAGCCCACATGCCAGGAGCCCGTGCTCCGCAACAAGAGAAGCCACCGCAATGAGAAGCCCACGCACCACAACGAAGAGCAGCCCCCACTCTCCACAACTAGCAAAAGCCCGCATGCAGCAACAAACACCCGACGCAGCCAAAAATACATACATAAATAAATAAATTTATTAAAAATAAAACAGATCCTTTTGGATCTGACTAACAAACAAAATAGAAAGGGACTTAGGACACAACTCTATCTAGAACTCTGGATAAGAGCCTTCACCAAAGAAGTCAGACATGTCCCTATTTGGAATCCACAGAATTGATCTAGTGTGGCCAGGAAATTAACAAAAAATGAAATACAAATGAACAATAAGCATATAAGAAAATGCTCAACCTCCTAAATATCAAAGTAATGCCAATTTAAACATCAAGATACCATTTTCCATCTGCTGGCATTACAAAGATTCATAAGGAAGACTGTGTCCCACATTGGTAAGAGCAGGAAGAAAAGAGGCCCCGTGCTGGTGGGAATGTAAGTGGACGCAGCTTTTCTAGAAGGCAATGTGGCAAGAGGAATTGAAAACCATAAGCATGGGCATACTTTTTGACTGAGCAATTAAGCTTCAAAAAATTTTTTTAGAGAAAACTGGATAAGTGCCGTAAGATATAGATTACCCAACTAATAAATGCAGCATTGTTTCCAATAGCAAAAAAAATAGAAACAAGTTAATGACCAAAGGTAAGAAACTGTATAAATAAAAGATGGCACATGGATACAGTGGGATACAATTCAGTCATTAAAAGTAATGTTGCCATATATAACATGAGCCTAATTTTGATTTAGAGGGAAAAAAGTAGAAATTATATATTGGGTTGGCCAAAAAGTTTATTCGGGTTTTTCCATAAGATGTTATGTTAAAACCCAAATGAAATTTTGGGTCAACCCAATACACACATGGAGAAAAGACTGCAAATTTTTCACCAAAAATAGAAGTAGTCATCTCTAGAGATGTTAATTTTCTTAATTCCCCTTTTTTGTATTGTTTATATTATTATCAAATTAGAAAAAGTAAATGGTACTAAAAAAGTATAAACCTATATTTATGGACTTTTAAAGGTGTTCTTGATTCAATTGAAAAGTTTTTAAAAGTAAGCCATCAAATAATATTTAGTTAGAGCCCATTTTGGAAAATAGGGAAAAGACTGGAAGGAAATGCAATAAAAATTCTCTAGGGGTAGAATTATGAATGATTATTTTCCTTCTTGCTTCTCACTTTTTTCTGATTACTCTGTACTGAACATAAATTATTTATGCAAAAATAATGAAAGGAAAGCAACTTTAAAAAAAATAAAGAAATGAACTGAGAAGGATCCAGATGGTTCAGGTAGGTTTGCTCTCAGTACTAAATAAAAGGCACATAGACCAACCTCCCCTCCCCTACTTCCAAAATGAGATAACCACCTCAATGGTCCATATCACCAGTGCCTGCAAGAATAGGCTGCCTGAAAGAGGCAGGTGGGCATATCTGGAGCTCAGGACTCCATGATGATGAGGGATGTGTCACTTTTGACACAAACATATACCAATGTGATGGTACTTGGAGGTGGGGGCTTTCGGAGGTAATTAGGTTCAGATGAGGTCATGTGGATGGGACCCCATGTTAGGATTAGTGTCTTTTTTTAATTTTATTTTATTTATTTTTTAATACAGCAGGTTCTTATTAGTTATCAATTTCCTACACATCAGTGTATACATGTCAATCCCAATCGCCCAGTTCATCAAACCACCATCCCCACCCCCACGCGGCTTTCCCCTCTCAGTGTCCATATGTTTGTTCTCTACATCTGTGTCTCATCTTCTGCCCTGCAAACCGGTTCATCAGTACCATTTTTCTAGGTTCCACATACATGTGGTAATATACGATATTTGTTTTTCTCCTTCTGATTTACTTCACTCTGTATGACAGTCTCTAGATCCATCCACGTCTCAACAAATGACCTAATTTTGTTTCTTTTTATGGCTGAGTAATATTCCATTGTATATATGTACCACAACTTCTTTATCCATTCATCTGTCGATGGGCATTTAGGTTATTTCCATGTCCTGGCTATTGTAAATAGTGCTGCAAGAACATTGGGGTGCATGTGTCTTTTTGAATTATGGAGTTCTCTGGGTATATGCCCAACAGTATGATTGCTGGGTCATATGGTAGTTCTATTTTTAGTTTTTTAAGGAACCTCCATACTGTTCTCCATAGTGGCTGTATCAATTTACATTCCCACCAACAGTGCAAGAGGGTTCCCTTTTCTCCACATGCTCGCCAGCATTTGTTGTTTGTAGATTTTCTGATGTTGCCCATTTTAACTGGTGTGAGGTAATAGCGCATTGTAGTTTTGATTTGCATTTCTCTAATGATTAGTGACATTGAGCAGCTTTTCATGTGCTTCTTGGCCATCTGTATGTCTTTTTTGGAGAAATGTCTATTTAGGTCTTCTGCCCACTTTTGGATTGGGTTCTTTGTTTCTTTAATATTGAGCTGCATGAGCTGTTTATATATTTTGGAGATTAATCCTTTGTCCGTTGATTCATTGCAAATATTTTCTCCCATTCTGAGGGTTGTCTTTTCGTCTTGGTAATGGTTTCCTTAGCTGTGCAAAAGCTTTGAAGTTTCATTAGGTCCCATTTGTTTATTTTTCTTTTTATTTCCATTACTCTAGGAGGTGGATCAAAAAAGACCTTGCTGTGATTTATGTCAAGAGTGTTCTTCCTATGTTTTCCTCTAAGAGTTTTATAGTGTCCGGTCTTACATTTAGGTCTCTAATCCATTTTCAGTTTATTTTTGAGTATGGTGTTAGGGAGTGTTCTAATTTCATTCTTTTACATGTAGCTGTCCAGTTTTCCCAGCACCACTTATTGAACAGACTGTCTTTTCTCCATTGTACATCCTTGCCTCCTTTGTCATAGATTAGTTGACCATAGGTGTGTGGGTTTATCTCTGGGCTTTCTATCTTGTTCCATTGATCAATATTTCTCTTTTTGTGCCAGTACTATACTGTCTTGACCACTGTAGCTTTTATTTACTTTTTTTTTTTTTTTTTTTTTTGCCGTACGCGGGCGTCTCACTGTTGTGGCCGCTCCCGTTGTGGAACACAGGCTCCGGATGCGCAGGCTCAGCGGCCATGACTCACAGGGCTAGCTGCTCCATGGCATGTGGGATCTTCCCGACTGGGACACAAACCTGTGTCCCCTGCATCGGCAGGTGGGCTCTCAACCACTGCACCACCAGGGAAGCCCTGATCACTGTAGCTTTGCAGTATAGCCTGAAGTCAGGGAGCCTGATACCTCCAGCTCCATTTTTTTCCCTCAAGACTGCTTTGGCTATTCAGGGTCTTTTGTGTCTCCATACAAATTTTAAGATTTTTGGTTCTAGTTCCATAAAAAATGCCATTGCTAATTTGATAGGGATTGCATTGAATCTGTAGATTGCTTTTGGTAGTATAGTCATTTTCACAATATTGATTCTTCCAATCCAAGAACATGGTATATCTCTCCATCTGTTGGTATCATCTTTAATTTCTTTCATCAGTGTCTTATA